AAAAAGGTGTAACAAACCATACTGGGTCGTCGGATAATTTTGTGCCGTTTTTAAACTCAAAAATTTGCAAAAACAAAAAGTCTTGTCAATAGTTGTAGATCGGTCGAAAGGAGTTCTCCCTTCATTTGACATAAATTAACCAATGGTTTAGCTTTGATCAAATTAAGAAGCGATGAATTGCTTTGAAGAAATCCGAATACTGTAGGCTCAACCAAAAGCTTAATTTTTTTAGAATGCGAAGGGCTCGAAAATGTAGTTAATGGGTAATGGGATATGCTGTAAAATTATATCCATTCTTCTCGAAAGCGCCACTGCAGAATCAGGGTACCTATACGCTGAGGAGTCAAATTTGTTTGAAAAGCTGTTAAAATGAGCTTATTGAAAAGCCGAACACGTAATCTGTCTATTATCTACGACAAATCAATTCCTTGCAGTAAGCGCCAAGCTACACAATTTTCTTTTCAGGCTCACATTTCGATCTCTCGTACACTATCCCTACTCTCTGCAAGGACCTATTGTGCAATATAAATTTGAGTTGTTTCATCATGTCAATTTGCAATAAACCGCTTTTCTGACAAATCAGTGGTTTTTGCCGTTTATCGTTTACCTACTCTATAGTAAGATCCTATTGTAACAATCAAGCTTTTCGCATATAAGAATTGGCTGATGGTTGTACTTCTTTTTGCCCTTTAGGTTTTTATCAATCACTATTAATTTAACATCGATGAATAAGTCATCTAGCGTACCTTCAGGAAGACTTCTTCTTTCGACTATTATATATTTCAGCAAAATGTTGGGTTTTTGAAATTTCTTTATATTTGAAAGAATAATACGAACTTATCCAACATTCCAATAATACATTTTCCTATGTAGCTGAAAATATGATAAGTTAAACAAATTATGGCTTGTGACAAAGTAAAACTAATAAGTACCTAGTTGGATGTTCAATTGCTATCTGCTAATTTTGGAGAGTTGCATGCAAAACTTCCTCAGTCTACCGCACAGCATCGTTGACTTTTGCATGACTTAATCCCGATTAAGTGGGGAGTACAGTCACCTAATGAAAGACGTTAATGCCTTGACCTTTACTGTAGAATCGTGCATTTTCCGATATTCAAGGATGTTGACTTTATAAGAAAAAAAACTAGAAAAATACTGTAACGTGAGGAAAAAACACTCCAAAAACC